CCCCGCCGGGGGCTGGGGGTCCGACTTGGGGCGGGTAGGCCCTGCTGTTGCCCCGTCCCAAGCCCCGCAACCCCCCGCCCCCGGTCCTCCAAAAAAGTTACTTTTGCCTAAGCTGGAGGAGGGGCGGGCCGCCCGTACAACCTACCCACCCCGCGGGGTCGCGGGAACCCGAGCGGCGGTGGCGTCTGGCCCTTTAAGAAGGGGGCCCTAGCTGGCCCGGCCTGCTTCCGGCGCCCACCGCAGGGAAGGGATAGGAACTGAGGTGTCCTGTCAGACCCGTGTGGGACCGGTGTGCGCTGACCCCGAGTGTCGCCTCTGCCCCCATCCGGTGGAAAGGGCAGCAGAGAGCAGCACCCCCACCTAGCCCATTCCACAGGTGGGCAGGCCGAGGGCTCCAGTGGAGCAGACACACGCAACTTGCCGCAAGTCTGACTCTTGAGACTGTTGGCAAGGACAGGGACCAAACTACCTGTGCCGGCAAGAGTCAGGCGTGGGATGGGGCGGGCAGGGTGGAGGCGGGTGGAGCTTCCTTCCCTTCCCTGGGAGGCCTGGAAGCTAGCCCTTGGATTTCTCCAGGTAGTGTGGGGGCACATCTGCCTGGCCGGTTGTGGGTACAGGCTACCTGGGGTTTGTGGGTCATTTCCCCTGGCGACTCAGTAAGTTAAGTGCTGGACTACCTAGGGGGTAAATTCAAAGCTACCAGCTGATGGGACAGGGTCAGGAGGCTCTACACTGTCCTGCAGAATGGCTCCCAGGGGGATTGCCTGGAGGCAACAGGATTAAGTCAGGCCTGTGGAGGGCATCAGATCAGATTCAGGGGCATATGTGGGGTGGGTGGTGGTGGGGTGTGTGTGCAGAATTCAGAGGGTGGTAGGGCATTGACAGGCAGTTGTATTTATTGTCATCACTGAGGGTCTACTGTGTGCTCAGCCTTGTCAGGAGGAAACACTTTAGGGAGGGTACACACTTTTCTCTGGCTAAGAAAAGTGACTATGCAGTGGATTACTGGTTAGGCTGCTCAACCCAAGGTAGGCGGTTCAAAGCCACCATCTACACCTTGGTAGAAAGCCTGGGCTTTCCACTGCCCTGAAGAGTTCGCCTCAGAAACCCATGGGCCAGTTCCACCGGCTCCTAGAGGGTTGCTACGACTCAGAAGCCACCCAGTGGCAGTGTTTAGCTGGAGCAGGGTCAGCAACAAGGGACAGTGAGTGAGCCAGTGGGCTCAAACAGAACAACCGTAAGGATGGTGCGGGACCGGTGGCAGGCTGAGTTTGGTTCTGTGGTACATGGGAGGGCCACTGTGTAGTTTACACACAGGAAGCTGAAGCCCAGAGAGCCGAGGCAGACCTGGAGCCAGGGAGCCAGCAATAGGCCCAGGTTTGAGCCCCTTGGATGAAGAAGAGGTGGTGGTGGGCCAGCCTGGCCTGGGGGGGTGGGGGATGGGGAAGAGCCTGCAGTTTGGCCCTGGGCTGTGAGGGGTTGGGGGAGAATGGGGTACAGTATCGATTCTGTAACCACATCCGGGAGCTGGAGCCACGGAGGGAAGGAAGTCTGAGGCCCAAGTGAAAACCCAACCCCCCCCCCCAACCGGGGAAGCTGCCGAGCCCGCCGGGATGTGGGGAGCTGGTCACATGGGGCCCAGGCCAGGCTTCTCGCCTGTCCCCTTTGTCTCTGTGGCCAGAGGTAACCATGCTGTCACAGGCCAGCTGCCTAGCAGGGGGCCTGTCCCCCAGCTTTCTAGAAGATGCGTGGCCTGAGAGAGCATGCTAGGATTTCAGAGAACGGTGGGCTGGGAGTCTGGGGGCCATTCTGCTGGTGAGCTGGAGACCCCTACCTGCCTGCTTCCATCTGTCCTTGGTCTTGAAGCCACATGCAGACAGCTGCCTCCTGAGTGGGGCAGTACTGGCTGATGAGCCCCTGCCACCTCAGGGACCCGCACCCACCCTGGTATGGGGTGGGGCAGTGTGAGGGACCAGCTTTGGTAGGGAGCTGAGAGTTGAATGTCAGACTCCCTGCCTGCCGGGGCACCTCCCCTAGCCCACTGCTGCCCCTGGGGAGGGAGTGGTTAGAGACGGAGATTCGGTCCTCTGCCCCCATTTCCGCCTGCCCCCCCAGCTCTGAGCTTTTTCTGCTCCTCTAGGCACACCCCCACACCCTGCAGCTGAGCCAGCTCACCCACCCCAGCACCCATTGTGGCAGTCAGCAGCCAGACACAGCTTACTCCAAAGGGTTTATTGAGACAAGTTTTCACGGATAAATCCAGGGGAGAGGGGAGGGGGGCTTATAAACAGGAACTGGGGCGGGGGTTCCATGGGGGCAGGGGCCCAAATGAAGAGAGGGAAATAAATAGAGGCGAGCAGGGGTGGGAGAGGAGACTGACGCCAATTATCACACAGTGATAACAACCCGGGCCTAGAGCCCCTTCTTTACACAGATTTACAGGGAGGTTTGGCCCAGGGGCCTCCAGCCTTGTCGCTGTGGCCCACAGGGAGGCCTGGGGGAAGTGGCTGCCCTTGGAGACAGCGCTGGTTAGTGTCTGGAAGGCGGTGTGAAGCTGGTAGGAAGGAAGCCTGCACTCCCGGCTCTGGGCAGGAGCCGGGGGAGGGGGGCCCTCTCAGCCCAGCTCCCACCCAGGTCTGAGGATGGGGTGGGGCTCTGGGGACCTGGCACCTTCTGGCGGTGTGGAAAAGTAGAGCCCCAAGGACCCTGGCCCCTGCTGGACTGCCCTGAAGGCAGCTCTCAGGCTGGGCTGGGAAGCAAGGGTTAGGCTCTGAGAGAGAGAGAATCCCCCACCCCAAGGCAGGCCATGTGGGGGCTCCTGGAGGGGGAGGCCTTTAGCACCACCAGACTCCACAGCAGGTGGGGGGGGCAGGCCTCCGAGGCCCGGGCAGGAGGCTGGGAGGCACCTGCGGGAGATGAGGAGATGGCCTGGAAGATGGTGGCCACTGGCCTGGAGAACACCGCCCGTCTCCTGGCCCATCAGCACAGAAGGCCAGGAGCCCTCACCTTGGCCTCTAGCCCCGCTCCTCAGCCAGGGCAGGGCCTGGGAGACATCATACGAACACCTTGGCCAGGGCGTCGGCACCGGCGCTGGCAATGAGGGCCTTGCTGGGGTGGCAGGCCACGGCGTGGATGGCCTCCTCGTGCTTCTTGCGGTGGGCTGTGATCTCCTGCACACACGTCTTGTTGTCCAGGCTCCACAGGCGCAGGGAGCAGTCGTGACCTGAATGTGAGCCAGGGGTCATCAGTGGCTGCCCGGCCACTTGCCTGTCCTTCCCGCTCCCCGCACCCAGCCCAGTCCTGTCCAGGATTCACCATCGCCGCAGGCTGGTGTGAGGGTTCGCCGTTAACCCACCAAACGCATCCACCCACAGGGCAGACTCAACAGTTGGAGGTAGTGAGAGTCACTGGGGCACAAATGGAGGGGGGCCCTAGAGTACCCACCGCAGCCCCCCTGCACCAGCACTTATCCCAAGGAGGAAGGCCTGGGGGCCGGTGATGTCCAGAGTCAAGATAAATAGCAGTCAGATGCCCCACCCAGGTCCCAACCCCTCCTCACAATGGCTCATCTCAGCACTGGGAGGCTGAACTGAGCATAGCAGGTGCCTGGCATCTGAGCCCTTCCCTTTCCCACTGGGCTCAAGCAGGGCTGCCTGGAACCCTTGGGACTTCGAGCCCGGCAACCACTATGTAGGTCAGGTCTCCCAGCTTCCCTGAGCCTCAGCCTGCACTTCAGAGAAATGGGATGGTGTTTCTAAGATCTGACACCGGGAGGGAGGGGAAAAATGAGGACCTAATGTTGGGGGTTTAAGTGGACAGAAAATGTTTTGAGAATGATGTACAAATGTGCTTTACACAATTGATGTGTGTATGGATTGCGATAACAGTTGTATGAGGCCCTAATAAAATGTTAAAAAAAATAAAATAAAATAAAAGCAAAATAAAGAAAAGTTGACCAAAGTAAGAGAAGTCTGAAAAAAAAAAAAAAGAAGATCTGACACCATGACATGGATCAGGGGCCTGCAGTGGGCTTTGCTGCTCCCGTCTGTACAACTGTGCTAGCTTCAGGTACACCCCCCACTCCATGGCCCCTGTCAGGCTCAACCCCATTCTCCACCAGCTCTGGACGCAGCAGGTCCCAGAACACCTTCATGGGACCAATATCTGGGCTAGGGGACCCACCAGGCACAAGTGGGACCGGGGATGCCCAACTTACTTCCTGACATCAGGAACACGCCATTGGGGTCCACAGCTAGGCAGGTGACGGCATCCAGGTGAGCCACCATGGAGTGCACGGACTTCCCTGAGGGGGAAAGCAGGGAGGGCGGAGGGCTTAAAGAGGTGCCCCCTCACCCTTACCCCAGCTCACTGAGCCTTGAGGGGAGACAGGGAGGGTGAGGGGCACAGGAGGTACTGAGAGGGAGCCCCTTTAGTGGGGGCAGGGCAGAGCCTCACCTGTCCGATTGTCCAGGAATCGGATGCCTCTGTCATCGTGGGCGGTGATGGTGATGGGCTGGTTGGGGTGACTCACCACCTGGTTGATCTGGGTTGGGCCTGCGTGGAGAAGGCGACAGAGGGAGGGACACTATGGGCAAGGTCAGGGAGTTCAGGACAGAGAGGCCAGAGAAGGCACAGTCCCCCAGGCCTCACTGTCAGGGCATGCTGGCCAGCACCCTCGCTGGGCCTGGGCGTTGCCTTTGTAACTGGCACGGATCATGTGAGCCCCTCGCCCTGCTCCTTACGCAACTGAAGCAGGCAGCCCAGGCGCAGAGCCCCTGAGGGATGGGAACTCGTCAAAGCCCCTGTAGGAACTAGGTGTGGGGACGGGGCAGGGGCCTGTGGCGGGTCCAGTAGCCCCTTACCGCTGCTCCCCCGAGACTCCAGCGTGAGGAGGGCGCTGCCGGCCTCCAGGTCATACAGGACCGTGTCGCCCGAGCGGAAGGCGGCCACGCCGTGGGCAGGGTCGGAGCTGGCAAAGGCCACTGAGGTGGGGATGCCGTGCTCTGGGGCAGAAGGAGAGAAGGCTGTCTCAGGACCCTGACCAAGGCCCCCCTCCCCCAGGGGACAGGCGGGCCCTGCTGCTCTTACCAGCAGCAGCGGGGAAGGTTCGGAGGCAGGTGGGGCTGCTGCTGCTGGGGTCCCAGATGCGCACGGTGCCGTCGGCTGAGCAGGAGGCCAGGCGCTGGGAGGCGGGGCTGAAGGCCAAGCCCCAGACGGCGTCCCCGTGGCCCTCCAGGACATGGCTCAGCACACTGGGGTCTGGCCCGGGCACAGGGAGGAAACAGGCGGGTCAGGGCTGCCGGAGTCATCACCCCTCATCTATCCCTACAGATGTTCCCCCTGCAACCCCTGGGGTGGCCAATCTGACTACCAGCGTGTTCAACAAGCATCCAGGGCCCACGGCACCCAACATGAAAGTGCTGGCAGGCAGGTCTCTGCCCCCTTGCCCCTTTCCCCACCTCCAGCGGGTGCTGGGTATCAATTTTAAGACTAAGAGTCATTAGAGGGTGGCCTGGGGATCACGCAGCCTCTCCTCACAGCATCCAAGGTCCCCTCAAAGACCAGGAGAGTCTGTCCGACCTGGAGGGCTCATTCACAGGTCCCACTGCCCCCTAACCCTCCAGTCCACCAAGATGGCTCTGGCCCTCAGGCCCTCACTTCTCACAGGGCGAGACAGCCCCCCAACACACACCTCTGGAAAATGGGGCAAGCCTGTGTGGTGGGGACAGACCTTGGAGCAGCTGGTCACTCCTACTCAACCCAGGACAAGAAGCACCCCCCTGGGCCTGGCCTGGCCGACTCAGCTCACCGCTCTCCTCCCTTCTCTGCTGCTGCTACCTGCCCCACACCCGACAGAGCCGCTAGCCCTGACGGAGGCTGCTGGTCCTGCCTCCTGACCCGCAGAGGTCCAGTTCTCCCCACAAGACATGCCCTCAGTGACTGCCTAGTACAGCGAGCAGGGCAGCCTCACCGTAACCGTCGTAGGGGTCCATGTTGAGGTCTGGAATCTTCCAGCTGTGGATGCGGGCATCTGCCCCGCCGCTATAACAGTGCTCGCTGTTGCTGCCCATGGCCACTGCCAGCACAGGGCCCCTGGAGGGGGCGACGGGGACAGGGGATGGTGGTAAAAATAAGTTCAGCGCACCCCTGGCTCCTTGGAACCTTCCAGTTCCCCACTTGGTTTCTCTGGGGGTGAGGGGTGGTGGCCAGAGGGAACTCAGCACTGGGGCTGCCCCCACCCGCCTTTACTTCCTCCCCTACGGGGCAGCCTGGCACCAGGATCACTCAAACCTTGAGGAGCTTGAGGAGGTAAGTCGGGGTGGGGTGGGGCCCTGGGGCCCGCCCCTACCTGTGAGCCCGGAAGGCATGGATGGGCTCCACATCAAGTGCAGCGTTCCTGTGGGGGAAGTTAAGGGGTGGGAGGATGTCAGACGCCCCATGGCCTGGCCCTGGGCCCAGGCGCGCCCCCCACCCTCCCCACAGCACCCTCACTTCTTGGCGGTGCCGGCCTTCTGCAGGTTCCAGAGCTTGAGCGTGCCGTCCTCGGAGGCGGTGAGCAGGGCGGCCTGGCTGTGGTGGAAGGCCAGCGCGCGGATGCCGTCGTAGTGGGAGCGCAGCGTGAACCTGGGGCTCCACGTCTTCTTGAAGGCGTCTTTGCTGTCGGAGAGCTGTGAGGGGCGGGGAGGGTCACCCCAGGACCTCATCGCCCACCCTCTAGGCTGTGGGCCACACCTCCCGGGGGCCAGATGGCCGCCCCTGCAGTCGCTCAGATGGGAAAAGCCCCCTCGCCCACCTCAGTCCAGAGCTCCTGCTGTCCCCAAGGCCACACGGCCCCCTGGCTGCTGCCTGGAAGGGAAGGGCCACCTCAGGGCTTCCTCACCCACCCTGCAGCCAAGCGCCCCTTGATGCCCCTGGGGTCACAGGGCTTCCCCGGCAGCCGCCTACCCCTGTGTTCTTTGCCACAAGGCTCTGTGTTGGGGGGTGAAGAGGTGTGGGGGCAGGCCAAGCAGCACAGCCAGCAGGGCAGGCCAAGCCCGGGCAGTGTGCTGAGGGAGCAGGCCCACCAGACAGCCCTGCCAGCACGGCGCTCTGCGGGTCTACAAGGCCAGTGGGTTCTGACTCACAGTGACCCACAGGACAGAGAGGCTGCCATCTTTAGGGAAGGAGCTCAAGGGTGACAGAAGAGCGGGTGGTGGGCCTGAACCGCTAGCCCCTCCGTTAGCAATGGGTGCTTGCTAATCTTGTGCTCTCAGGCCCCACTGTGAGTCAGTCCAAACACCAAACAAACTCACTGCCACTGAGCAGCCACCGACTCCAAGCGACCCTGTAGGGCTGGCCAGACCTGCGCCTGTGGGCGCCCAAGGTTGTGACTCTTCTTTGTGGGAACAGGGGGGACTCCTCTGAGGATCTGCTGGTGGATTTGAACTGCCCACCCTGCGGCTAGAAACCCAATACGTAACCACGATGCCACCAGGGCTCCCTCCCCTTAGTCATGAAGGAGACGCAAATCTAAGCCAGGATGAGATGCCACTGGACACCCACCGCACACACCTAACCTACTGTCATCACGTCTGTCCTGACTCACAGCGACCGAGTAGTTTCTGGGGCGAAGAGAAAGCCTCCTCTGTTTCTTGGGGAACGGCTAGTGGGTTTGAATTGTGTTCAGCAGCCTGGAGCTCACCTGACAGCGCTGCCAGGGCTTCTTGGGCACCCACAGAGACAGCAATCGGCGAAAGGCGCTCACAACCAGGTGTTGGGGAGAATGAGGGGAGTCAGGAGGCCCCGCACACAGGTGGGTCTGGGCAGACTCAGTGGAGCTGGGAAGCACCCAGTGAACTGTCATCCCTGGACACCCCACTCCCCCAAAGTGTGTACACAACCTTCTTTCATAGTAGCCAAGCAGTGAGAGCACCCAAACGGCCGACCACCCGCAGATGGGCGGATTGACACGATGTGCACGCAACCCCACGGAATACCATTCATCTGTCTAACGGCTGATGGGAGGACACTGTCCGCTAGGTTCCAGGTCAGCTCAACCAAGCAAGCATCGCAATAAAGCGAGTCATGTGAGGTTGTCCGTCTCCCAGTTGTGCGTCTGAGCGGTGTTGCCACTGGACCACAGCCCACAAAGTCACAAAGCGTGCAACAGAGGGACGGACTGGGGGGACTACCGGGAGGGCTGCCCGCTCGAGCACAGCGGCGGGAAGTGAGCGTGTGCTGCTGGAAGGATGGTACGGATGCACTCTGGGGCAGGACTGCCACCGACTTTCAGTCTTACAATAAACGCCATTACCTGTGAAGGGTGATCAGGGAGGTCTGCCAGGACGTGCCACAATGCAGGTGGATTTTAGGGGGGGGCGGGGCGGGGAGGAGAGACATGCCAACGGGCCCTGGTGGCAATGTGGGTTAGGGAGGGGCTGGGCTGCTAACCACAAAGTCGGGGGCTCAAACACACAAGCTGTTCTGCAGGAGAAAGATGTGGCTGCCCACTCCATTACAAACTGACTCCCTCCCACACCCCACCTAGGGTCCCTGGAGATGGGACACTGACTAGGGGTGACAGCTAAGGGGTGGGTGAGTTCCTCTGTAGGGTGATGGCAAAGCTGTCCTTTGGTTTGTGTGGTGGGGGCTGCACAGCTGTGGACCTAGCCTGCAGGGAGAGGAGGCATGATATGGTGTGAGGATGACTCCCCAGGAAGCTGAGAGGAAGAGTGGGCACCCAGAACGGGTCCCAGGGGGGTGTGCCTGACCGTGTGGGTAGTGATGGCCCACAGAGTGGGGCAGGTAGGGAGATGAGAGTCCCCAGCCCCCACGGATGGCATGGGTGCTCACTGAGCGGGATGGCTGTCTTGAGTCAGATGCCAGGGCAGGCTCCTCGGCTGTCCTGAGGAGGGGTTTGCCCCTGCTCGGGCCTCCTTGCTCCTGCACACGCCCAGGCCCTCCTTGGCCCTCACCATAGTTAATACAGCATGGAGGGGGCCGAGTAGTGTGTGATGGTCCCCAACCACTTGCCAAGCACAGGGGGATTTCTGGGGGAGACCATACTCCTTGCTCACATTCCCGTGCTGCTCTGCTTCCTGGCCTTTTGTCCACACCCCTCAGAACTCCCAGTGAGGGCTCAGGAGAAAGTCTCAGGTGGTGGGACTCTCAGAAAAACACTCACTCACCAGCCCCAGGCCCCGGGCTCAGAACGTTGCCGTGGGACACCTGGTCCCAGCCTGTCGGCACCATCAGTCCAGTTCACGGGTCTGGTGTGCAGCCTTCCTGTGCCCCAAATGGGGCCTGTCCTTGCTGACGAATCCAGTTTCCTCCACAAGCAGTTCCCCACAGGTGGTTCTCACCCCTGACCCTTCGCACCTTGGCCCACCCCCACGGGGTGAGGGGGACTTGTCAGGAGGGTGGAGTCCAGTGCCGTGACTGAGGCCCCCAACTGTTGTGGCAAGGGGGGTTCAGGAGGCCTGACTCCCAGGCAGTGGGAGGACCCCTTGATACTCAGACAGAAGGGCCAGCGGCCGTCTCGATGGGGTGGGGGCACCCTGGGAACTTACGTCGCAGCTGAGGTCATTGTCGTTGGTGACGGTGAGATCTGCCAAGTCCCCCAGGCTCACCTCCCCGCCCCCGATGGTGTCCATGATGAACACGTCTGAGGAGAAGCCAAAGGAACCTGGTGGGGGGAGGGGAGGGCAGGCGCGGGGGAGGGGGGGAGGGGAGGAGTGAGAAAGGAAGAGGGAGAGAGGATAAGGGCAAGCAGACAGCTGGAATGAAAGAGGCAGGGCAGGGCAGGCCAAAAGAGAGACGAACACAGACAGGCTTCTGGGGCAGGGAGGCTGCGAGCCGGCCAGAGGCAGGGCCTCCACCCTGAGGACTCAGACCCCTCCCCCTCAGTGCTGCAGCCCCCGTCAGGTGGGGACCCCTAGGGGCTGGCGGGAGCAGCACGGCTTACCTTCATGGGGCCGGGGCTGGGGGGTGCCAGGGGGCGGGCCAGTCACTTTGAGAGGAAGGCCGTCCACGTCTCGAAGGTCTGCTAAAATGCCCTGGAGTTTGACTCGATGGCTCTCTGGCGGGGATGAGGTACAAGGTCGGTGTCACCCACCCATTTCCCCAGGCCACGACATCCCCATCCTCCCTGCCAGCCTGTGGCCTTGCCTGTGACCCAGGGTGCCCTGGGGCTGGTGGGGGCAGCACGCCCAGCCCCCCACCCCGCAGGAGGGCAGGGAGGAAGACAGGCAGCCAGGCCCTCTGGAGTCCTCATCCGTTCCCTCCCTGCAGCCACAAAGGACAGACAAGCGAGCCATGGGGGCAGGGCCCCCAAGCTCGGGATTTTCCAGGGAAGGGGTAGGGGCCTCCTGCTCTGCCAGCGCTCTCCTCTCAGGAAGCGTATCCGTCCGGTGCAAAGGCCTTGGGCAGGAAGC